TTGATCTGGCCGGATTGGGTCCAAACTCCAAACCTGTTTGGAGCCCCAAACCCTGGTAGGTGGACCCTCCCAGGCAGTCCATTCCATCCATCCTTGCAGTCCATTCCGTCGGCGCCCCGACGGGGTGGCCGTGGCGACCGGCTCCAACGGGCTTCCTGTGGGCGCACGGCGGAAGGGTGGCCGGGGTGATCTACCTCGGGAGGTCTTTCGTTCTGGGGCGCAACACCTCCACGTGCTGCCAAGAATCCTTACGGGTTTCTCCACCCAGTCACCCAAGGCGGAGCAGTCGGAGCCGGTTCGCCCCGGATGGTGTTGCGTGGCGGCCCGGATTCTCAGGGTATCTACCCTAGGGCTCCTGGCCCATTGCCTCAGGTGACCGGTGGTCTTCGACCCCCCCTGGCAACCACCCACCCCTAGCCCGCACCGAAACGGAGGTGGGCCAGGAGCCCAAACGGGCTATTGATCCGGTCGGTAGGAACATCCGACGTCTGGAGATGGCTTCACGTGACGTCTGGAGGGGGAACTGTGGAGTTTCAGGTGAGGGTGATCCATCACTTCAACGAGTTCGGGTGGAGTTTGTGTGTCTTCCTTTTGTAAAGGTGATCTTTTTGAGGGCAACATATGGCAATCCATCTATTTACTGGGTCACCCTGGACTTGTAGGGAACGTTTTGCACCTTTTGGACCGCACTCTGATGATCTCTGATGCATCGGTGGGGTGGAAGCGAAGCCATGCGAAGCCCCCAGCCTTGCAGCTCCATTTGCAACCCTGGCACTGGACTGCTGAAACGGCTGAAAACGAGCGAACGCGGCGGTTTCATTCATGACATGCTGCCACCAGCGGCGCATCACAAGAACATGACACATGACAGTGCGTGTGGATTCCCACATATTCCAGAAACATCCCAAAACAAGTTCCACGTGCCAGCAGTCACAAAGAAGTGCTTATTGGAGGTTCAGTCGGGATGTCTATGATCCACTCACTGGATGTGATTCAAAGACACACCAACTCCCAGCACCTGACTCTACCGGTCTCCGATGGCTGGAGGGTTGGGCCCTGTCACAGGTTTCCATTGGTGACCTGTTGGCCGTGCTGGTTCATGCGACTCCTGGGTATGTCCTTGTCTTCGCCAGGGCCTGTGTGAAGAAACGGGATCACTGAAGACACCGGTGACCTGGGCGTTCCGGCAGGGCAGTGCTGGCTGACAGCTCGTTCACCCGGACGTGACCCACAACGAGCCGAACGAGCCACTCCACGAGCCGAACGGACCACCAAGGTCTTTTTAAAGAGGAAAACCAAGGCTCCAACGGCCTCCCTTCTTCCGTTCTTCCCGTGTTCCGCCTGCGCGGAAGGCGAAACGACGCGTTCACGTCGCGTTTCAGGACGCGAAACGTCGTGAGCGACTGAGAGTCCCCACAACTTGGCGGCGGCGCGCGCCTCGTGCGCGGATCGAAACGGTCGAGGGTCCAAAACCCGCTGCGCTCAGATGCTCACGTGGCGCAGATGCTCCGGTCGATTCAACATCGCCAAAGCGTTTGGGCCATCGGAGTCAAAGACTAGAACATGGTCTTTATAGGTGACCCGAGTCCAGGAAGTTCTGTTTACTTCAGTCGGTCCATATAGTCGGGACTTACTTCAAGGGTAGGGATTGGTTCGACCCCCAAAACCCCTCCAGAGCATTCAGGTCCGACCCCCTCCATGTTTTCGGGTCCATGAGCATCTGGGCGGAAACAAAACAGCGGAAAAAACCCCTTGCGATCCGTTTCTGGCTGCTCTCTAAGATGGACATACCCGCAATGTCCAACCACAAGATGGTATATTTCACGGTCTTTCACGGTATTTCACCCCAAAATCGACGCGCCCCAAATGCTGCACCCGCAGCGTTTAGCGTTTCTTTTTACGGCCAAAGGCTGGACGAATACAGTGACTTCCACGCAGGCATTGGCATTGGGGGGGGCGACCAAATCAGTGTGGCCCGCGGGGCCCTTTATGTCTCGGTCGCGGTCCCGTGCCTCGACGGGAGCAAGCACGGTTGGAGCTGCATAGCCTCACCAGGTGGGAAGACGAACGTGAAAACAAAGGCTTCGTGGACTTTGCGGATCGGATGGAGGTACTAATGACGGTCCTAGGAAACCGCCTCACGCCCTCTCCTGCCCATGTCATGTCCTTCACGTCACAGCTTTTCCTGTCCTGGCCGTGCCTCCCCGTCCGCTGCGCCCGTGCGGCGTCGTGGGCGTGGAGGGCATCTGAGCCGTTCGACCGCGTCGACCGGTACGGTCCGTGCGAGCAGAGACGGCCGCTGCGAGCAGAGACGGAGCTGGGGCGCCGGGCGGTGAGCGGCGCTTCCCTGGGAAAAGGGTGGGGGGACCAGAGGTAGCCAGTGACCTGAACTAGGACCCTACAGGGGTGCCTATATAGGATCGTCTACCAGCACCCTCCAACAGGCTGTTAGTTGAGGGTTGTTGGACCCTAACAGGTCTCAATTAGTGACCTGTCGGAGGGTGCTGGTATAGGGTTGTACCTATAGGATAGTCGAACTAGGGTTCTTCAACCTCTGGGAGAGGGCACGTCGTGGGAAACGCCTTTGGCTGGGAAGTGAGGAATTGGTCCGTGGTGGGAATTGGGTGTTTCGGGAGAACTGGGCGGCGAAACATGGGTGTTTCTTTTGGAAGAGAACTCAAACAAACAACTCCTATAGTTACCTAGAACCTGAATGACCTCTATCTTGGATCACCAACCACCCAAAATAAGGTCTTTTCCTATCAAAACAGAGGTCAAATGCGCTCTGGGGACTCTAGGGTATACACAGGGTGTCTACCTAGAGAACTTCACACTTCCCGGTCCTACCTCCGCCTGACCGCCCCCTCCACGCCTGCAGGTGGGCACAGGCACTGATGCCGTGCCGCCTGAGCCGGAGGCAGGTCCGGAGAGGCTGGGTCAGAGGGCCGGACGCTCCAAGTTCACAGCCATACTTCAGGTCCCTCAGAAACCTTAGGGGATTGGTTCGGGTCCGGTCCCCTCTAATATGAGGATGTAGCCCCCTACTTAGGAGGGTCCAGGGTCGCGTCTGGGTCCAATCGATTGTGAACATGCAGGTCGTGGCACAGCCCACCGCAGATGGACATGGGGTCAGTGCCGTGCACGTGTTAGACCCCCTTTTCAATCAACCATCCCTTTTACAGCCGTAGTTTCACTCGGCAGTCCGGTAGTCCCAGACAGGTCGTGTCTCCACTTCTGAGCTTGCTGACTGGTGATGGACACGTTTTGCCTCAGACCATACCTGGCCACCGGAGGCGGCGGCAAGCTTTCAGGCGCCGGAGCGCGAGCGAGACACGAGCGAGACACGAAGGAACGAGCGAGTCAATGCCTCGGCGGGTGGTTCAGGAACACCTGCCCACCGGTTGGATGGATGAAAAGGGACTAGGTTGGAGGCCATCGCTCTAGGTTGCCTCCACCTGCCTTCGCCATTTTTCGGAAGACCCTGCTGAATTCACCGAGACCGAAGCCACCATGAGAGTAGACCGACGGCCGAAGCAAGACCGAAGTATCAAGCGATTTGGCACTTGTTGGACGTGGAGTTCACCACCTGTTTGGACGTGGAATAATGGTCTTCCCTGTCCATTTCCAGTGAGTGGGAGTGTAAGATGAACCACCTACTCAACCACCCAGGAGACGGATGGTGCTTAGACAGAAAAGACCTCTTCAGGAGGGTAGCAACCGAACTGGGTGGTGCTGGCATTTTAAGAAT